CCTTTTTAATCAACCTTGATTGTGACTAATTGCCTAGACAGACGACAGCCTTATTTTGCATTAACAGTCTTAATTAAAATTAACTTGTACATTATCCTAATTTTTATGCGTCGTAAATGCACAAAATCAAACTGAATTAAACAATTCCAATATGGCAATGCTGTAGAAAATAAATAAAAAATTAAAAAAAATATTAGAAATAAAGGCAAATTTCAAAATTTTTTAATCGGGAGCTGTTTTGCTACCATTTTAGCTGCTATTCTTCAGTTCTGTCATCTATCTATTTCATAAAGATGTAATCCCAAAAATATTGGAAACAATTGTGAAAATGTTCATCCTACACACAGACAAACAATAGTTTTGAAACAAAAAACTCGTTCATAAATGCAGAAACTCTCGTCTGTCAGGGGTAAATATTAATTCAACTTAAGAACTTTTTAGTGCAAATTAAGGCTGTCGTCTGTCTATGGTATAAAAAATCAGTGAAAAACATATAAAATAAATTAAATTTTCTAAACGAAATTTTCGCCACAAGAATAACGTTTGACAATAAATGTAGATGTAGGGTTTTTGAATTAAAAAACAGCATTTGTCAAATGAAAACGTTCAGTATTTATAAGAATTTGGTACAATTTTATTTGCCCAAAAATCATTTTTCGAAACACTTAAAGAGAATTTAGCTTATTTAAGGTTATATCCAACATAAGCCGACTATTGGTACATGCTGGCATTAATAGCTCTTACCCCCCTTTACTATAACCTCTACGTGTGCACTGAAACTGTTTGCTTCCACGATTGCTGTCATGTACATATTTCGTTTTTTGGTTATCACATGTCGTCTTCTAATTATCGCATCTTCCTCGTTGCTGGCGTCAGCGGGCATACTTCGCTTCTGTTCGTTTTATTAAATGATGTCACTCAACATTAACACCTCAAACTTTCACCTCATTTGACATGAAAAGGACAAATTGCTGTGCTCTTGTCTCTGCGGATGTCGACCTTGCACAGCTACATCCCACATCCTCTCAAATGGTTCTCCGTTCGACGCGGAGCCATATAAGCATACACATATACGAACAAAACTAGCATATCCCCGTCCATGTGCAAGACGAAACAAAAACTTTGGTACAGAAGAATGAACAACAAAGGGAAATGGCAAAGTAAAAACTGCTGACAACAATGTGGCGTTTACAAATGTCAAATACAATATTGAACATGTAACTTCTAACTGTAACTACAAACACGAAACACAGACGTGCGTCTGCGTTTTCACTTCTCAACAGACAAGCTTAATGAACGACAGGATGTTTTACACAATGGCCGACAAGCAGGGGGTTCCAACCCTAGCTATCACTCATCCGAACAACCTGTAACACGGTGGGAAGATATCGTATTGATGATGTACGGATTTAAGTGATCAAATCAGAAAGGAGGTAGCGGTCTACTAATGAGGAGTCATAGGACATATCCAATAACTGTAACCAATTGTATACCGCCAGTATCTGAAAATTGAAAACTAACTAGAAGCAACTATACACTACATGGAATGCGAAGTTCGTATGTCCTTTAATTTCGAAGTATGCACTTAACATCTTTCTAATTGCTGTGACAGTGTAGTTGTAAGTTTTTTTTTCAGCTGCTTCACGATGAAAGGTGCAATTCTCTACAGTTCATGTTTAATTTAGGTGACCACAGTGGTGGTGGTCACAAAAATTAAACATGAACTGTTGTAAACAAATTTTGATCAGTTCTCGATTAGTTTTATATATTTTTAAAATTTTACCTAATTTACCAAATTTAAGTTGTTTTTATACCTTACACAACTTTGTTGTCAGGGTATTATAGCTTTGTGCAGCCCCCAATGTTTGTAACGCAGCGAAATATTGGTCCTAGACAAACCTTTAAGTATACCGATCGTCATATCTCGTTTAGCTGAGTCGATCTAGACATGTGTGTCCGTCCGTCCGTCTGTCCATTATAATTTGTAAACACGATACAGGCCACAGTTATGGACCAATCTTCACGAAATTTGGCATGTAGGATGGGTTCTGGCCAATGAAGACACCTATTGTTCTTGTTAAAGATTGGTTAATATTTAGCGTATGAAATGGACCAAAAACTTTATTTTGTCTGATTTCCTGGTCGCTCCAGAGGCCGCAATTATGGTCCAAACATCGCGAATTTTTACATGGAGAAGGGGATCGGGCCAAACAATAAGCATGCCTGTTTTGATAAAGATCGGTCAATATTTAGTGGGTATGTGAGAGTAACACTTAAATATTTAAAGGTGTTTACGTATTCACATATTATTTAGTAACCCATTCCCACACTAGAGGACGGAAATATAGCGCTGATCGCTTTGAAATTTTCCATGACATTCCAGTTATGGTCAAGGACAACGCCTATAATTTTCGGTGATGATCAGATAATAATTTTGGGATAAAGTGGACCGAAATCTTAATTTTTTATTGAAAGTCGAACATCACAACACAACTCACGGTGAAGGTAATCTGGAGAAGTAATTAGAAGAGCTGTACTAAATATTAATTAGTAATATTTGTTGACATCAAGAGGGTGCAAATATTGCCCAAGCTCAGAATATAGAACTACAGAGAGTTATATTTTCGTGGAAGTTGTGTAGGGCATCATATGCTCGGCCCCGTCCGACTATACTGCTTCGCTCACTGGTTTAAATATAGTTTAAAATAAATTGCAGTAACGTAAATAATCACACTATGTTTTTATTATGTGGCCAGCTCAATGTTGGTGTTTTCACGAAAAACCGTTAATTATGGAAATATTACATGCAATATTGTTCTATCTTCACACTAAGTCTCTATAGTACACTATATCTAAATGTTTTGAAATAAACATATTTAAAAATACTTCAAACGAATCGAAGGCTGATCAATTTTTTTTTTAATTATTTGTCCACCACTGTATATGGGTATTCTACAATATCAAGATAATTCCCAGCTGAAGGAGAAATTGCGATTTTTTTAAAACGTCTTCATGATTCCAAATCGATTCAGACTTTAAATGTGATAGGTAATGAAATGTTTCACTTTTTCTTGTTTTCTATTTTAGAAGTCCCGTTAACTGCCGACGCTTCCATGTCCAAAGAAGAATCGAAAACCTTGTGCGAATGTAGTGAATAAAGAAAACAATACAAATATAAATTGTAAAATAAAACTGTATACCTTACCTTGACAGCATTCCCAAAAATATTCTGTGAATACATTTTATTTTCGTTTTAAAAATATATATGTAAAATCTTTAAATTTGCAAATATAAAATATATGAATAAAAACAAATGTTTTTTATTTAAAACCAACAAATTACTTAATGAAATAATATATCACGGTTTCAAAGATAATAATATTCTGTTCAATTAGATTTGCATCCTATGTTCGTTTAGAGTGAGTGTATCTCCACCAGCATAAAAATACGAGTATGTCATTATTACTTTACTAAATGAACTGAACGTGTATTGCGTTACATACAAATTGTTGCGTCGATAGTAAAACATGGCACACCTTCAAATACAACCCCTAAGCAGCAACCTCTTATAACCTCCAGTCACCTTATCAACGAGCAACAAAGATAAATGCGGTCGAGTACACAGTATTACAACAGTTTTTCATAGAAATTATATATTCGTAGAATTTCATTTAAAACGAACTATTTATTCGGTTCCAATATGTTTGTTATAACGAACATAATACAGAACGATTACAATCCGATAAATTTAATATTTACGCAGCAGCTTCAGTATTGTCAAAAAGGTAACAAAAGCCACCAGTTTTTGACTGAATAGGTATATATAAAGAGCAAAGATACACTTTTTTGCACTTTCAAACAATATTACAAAGCAATTTCAAACAATGAAAACTCGACTGATATGGATTAAACATACAGATAATGGAAAATCATATCATGAAAAAGGAATAAAATTATTATTTTCATTCATGAATTTGAAAATTTGTTTCCACATGTTTTGGACTCCTACGTCACAAAGGCAATTTTTAACCCTTTCAGTGTTTTTGTCGAATGTATTCGACATTTAAATGTACTAGCTTATTCTACAAGGAACTAATTTGTTTGATTCCTACTAGTTCGCTATATGCACTTCACTGTATAAAAACCAAACGAAGTCATGGTGATGACAACTGAAAGGGTTAATTGTTTGACAATTAACAGTCTTCGACTGTTCTGTCGTTTGTAGACGCAGGGTAACTAACTTATTCTACAAGGAACTAATTTGTCTGATTCCTACTAGTTCGCTATATATGCCCTTCACTGTATAAACACCAAACGAAGTCATGGTGATGACAACATTTTTCGCAATCTTCATCGGCATTGCCGATTCTGGCAACGCAAACACGTAGCATAGAATATCGGGCAGCGTACTTTCTCTTTGCCATTCAAAACACACGGCCAGGAATGTAATTGGTAATGTCTCAATTTTGGTAGAATGTATCCATTGCTTAATTTGGTTGTTATTGTTTTGGGTCCATTGAATTGTCCTTCTAGTCGTTACTTTTCCCAAATTGGTGTGCCTGTGTTCTATAGAGACATCAAACGCTGTAGCGGCGACTATTCAATAGGATGCCGAAAGATCACAACTTAAGATGACATGCTTGGCGTTGCTGAAGCGAAATGTCAGCACTTAATCTTCGGTACCCGAATTGGTAACTAGTCCACAGTTAGATGGGGCGCAATGACAAACAAAAAGCAACACAAGTAGGTGTAAGTTTGCCATGGACAAAGAACAACAATAGACTTGCTGCCAACTATGTACATATGCACATAAGTATGTACATATATATGAAGGAATGAAACCGACGGACAATAAAAGGCATTCATTGTTTGCCGACTATCCGTTGTGGCTCGCTGCTATCCATTCAGTGGTAGCGCGAGGTTCCGGATTGGACATTTATTGAATTCAATAGTGAACGAGATTACATGTTAATTTGTGTGTGTGTGTGTGTGTGTGCATTTTACAATAATTCGTTGTATTCATTTTGCAAAGTTTGCTTTATCCAGGGCAAAAGTTCCGTGACGCGGGCGTATACGCCTGGCTTTTTACGCTGGGCACATCCAACTCCCCAAGACACAATGCCTATAAGGTTGCTCTGGTACACTAAAGGACCGCCAGAGTCCATTTGACAAGCATCCACACCGCCGTTCTTGAAGCCTGCACATATCATTCGTTTAGTTATTAGGCCTCCCATTTGTCGGTTACACGTCGACTGTTTAACTATGGGTACTTGAGCCATTCTCAATTGCTCAGCGGGTGGGCCCCAGTCGCTGGTGTAGCCCCATCCCAATACAGTCGCATAGTGGCCGTCCTTGATTTTGGTTTTTGAACTTGCCAATTTGATGGGTTGAACTGATGGAGAATATGTGAACCAGCCCTCGATTCTCACAAGTCCTACATCATAGTCTTGTGTTTCCGCTGTCCACTGCTGATGATAATGCGTGTTTAGGACGTCGAAAATCAGTCCATCTACAACGTTCCTCGTCTTTTCTCCCACGTGTACTTTTAACACCGTTGCAGAAGTCGAAGCTAAGCAGTGTGCTGCAGTAATCACTGTACGCCTATTGATGATGGAGCCGCCGCAACTGTGGTAGCGACCGAAAATGGTGTCCGTCATTAGAGAAACAACATACGGATAGCTGTCGGTGGCTACATGTCCGCCTACAATACGAGGAACAATACTCAAGTTTTTGAACCTTGTCCGCAACTCGCCACAACGAACAGAATACAAAGCAAGAGAACTGAATACAAATAACGACGTTATACTTGGTGAAGATCGCTTCATATTGACAGCTAACCGCTACTACACTGAATTTTTGAGGTGTCTCCGGCTTTTCATACGATGTCAGATGTGGGCACTGCAGACAACCTGATAAATTGCTAAGAAAAATGAGTTGAGAGCGGTAATTGTTTTTCGATTGCTTCCAATCACGACCAGCAATGTGTTTCCCCATAGTATGTTTATACAACAATTTGATAAAATATAATCAGTGTAGTAGTAACGGCATTCGTAATCAGACATTTTTAAAGTTTCCTAATGACAGCGAATGAGATGGAAGCGTTTAAAAGAGAAGCATGAAGTGAGTCAGGTGATATCCAAAATGTGAAGCAACTCTTAAACGTTTTAAAATGTCTTTGATATTTTGGTAAAAAATGTCTGTTCTGCCCATCTTTGTCTTCCGTAAATCAAGTCTCTTATTTGTACTAAGAGTTGGACCTGTTTTTACTCTAAATTTACATTTATATTTTTTACCATTCACTGTGGTACAACATTTAGCGCAACATACTACATTTCAAATTTCAATCTCTAACTTTCCATTATAGGGGATGAAGAGCAACAGCTCTGATTGGCTTTAACATGGCGAAGCCCCGGTTTTTCTTGGTCCCTCTTTCATCTCAATTGTGGACACTGACCTCCCCGTCGTGTCACCTTGTAGTTGAGGCGTTGGGTTAGTTGCTCGCACTCGGAAAAAAACAATACTTTGAAAAAGCAACGAAAAAGAAAATCGAATATATGGAACGGCACACCTTGGACGCTAAATATTTTTTTCCAAATATATATATATATATATATATTGTTACAAATCTGAATAACGATATTGGTAACCACAGCATCATCTGAAGGAAGTTTTCCCACCCTACGTGGAGTAAGAACGCTTCTCGGCGGACAATGCCATACATTCCCCACTAATAAATAGTTGTTTTTATAAAAACAACAAACTGGGATTCAGCCTAACTACTTAGCAAAAACAAAATACAAATGTAACCCAAATAACCCGCCAACTGAACTGAAGTTTTAGACGCAGGCACGGTCAAACTGTTTGGTTTATTGCTTTAACTAGCAATACCAACAACAACGTCATGTGCATTCGTCACAAAGTGACGACACATAATAGTGGGAAATGTATTGTAGATGTCTGCAAATGCCTTTTTAACCACGAAGTCAGGCACCAACGAACTTCTCATTGAGGTGGTATCGCTGGTAACGTAAGTACTGCGATTTGTTACAAGACACATTTGGTTTCTTTGTAAAGAAGCCATAAATAGCCTCTGGGGAGAATATCCCAACAAAAAAACAGTAAGGAAAGTTCAAAAGCCGGACGTCATCATCAAATAAATAGTTGTTTTTTTTTATAAAAACAACAATCTGGGATTCAGCCTGACTATTTTGCAAAAACAAAGTTTCTGAGAAATCAGATGCAAGGCCACGCTGTTGTTCATTAACTCTAATGTTTAGACATAAATCTGAAACGAATACTGATGGCATAATAAATATAATTTTCTAAAAATAGTAGATTTACTTTGCAATACAGATTGCAATACATTTAAAGTAATGAATTTATATATTTTAATAAATGCAAAATATTGTCTTTAGTTTAAATTAATTTTCACCATTCGTATTGTCTTTCCATAGATATACATTTATACTCTCTAATCAAACTTTAAATGTTAAATAAATCAAAAACAATTAAATTGTTTACAATTCTCCCTTAATACTTTTTGTGTGAAATTTTGAACTTTTAATATTCTTTAACATGAATAAAAGATATCACGTATTCGTTGAAATCAGTTGATTCGCAAGCGTTTTTTGTATAAAACGAATCGATCATATCCAATAATTATTAATTTTTCGGGGTTTCATTTAGCGGCCAAGGTGTGCCGTTCCATATATTTTAAACGAATTGGTTAATAACCGCGGATGTGTCGCCACAATCCATTTTTGATAAAATGGATAAAAAATCTTGTATCGATGTATTTTGACCGATTTACACAGATTCGCGAATGTGATAAATAAACATGAATGTATGTAAAAACAATTCGAAGAAAAAGGCGATTATATACGTGAATTTATCAATATACGTTTTTGCAGTTTTTCCAACATTCAAGGTACCTATATCGCCGTTTTATCGGACGGAATTGAACAAAACTGGGCTCATTAGATTCGGCACGTAAAAAAATCAAAATAAAATCACGCGGGGTTCCACGGCAGTGATTATAACAAAAATATGCAAATAATATGCAAAATATACAAAAAATATGCACGGTATGCTAGGTCGATATGCGATAAATATGCAAAAAATATGCACGGTATGCTAGGTCGATATGCGATAAATATGCAAAAATATGCACGGTATGCTAGGAGGATATGCGATAAATATGCAAAATATAGGCAAACATATGCAAAAATATGCACGGTATGCTAGGTCGATATGCAATAAATACGAAAAATATAGGCAAAAATATGCAACAAATATGTGCAAATAACAAAAAAAAAAATTATATGCAATATGTTCATATTTCGCGAGTTATAAACTTGCAAACCTCAGTTTCAAGGAATTTAAAACATTTTTGTAATTTCCCATATATAATAAAAGTATGTAATAAATAAATTAAATAAAAAATGCCCTTTCAGCTATAATATTACAAAATATCACGCGGGGTTCCACGGCAGTGATTATAACAAAAATATGCAAATAATATGCAAAATATACAAAAAATATGCACGGTATGCTAGGTCGATATGCGATAAATATGCAAAAAATATATACAAAAAAAAATATGCAATAAATATGCAAAATATGCAAAAATAACGGTATGCTAGGTCGATATGCGATAAATATGCAAAAAATATGCACGGTATGCTAGGTCGATATGCGATAAATATGCAAAAATATGTAAAAAATATGCACGGTATGCTAGGAGGATATGCGATAAATATGCAAAATATAGGCAAACATATGCAAAATATGCAAAAAATATGCACGGTATGATAGGTCTATATACAATAAATATGCAAAATATAGGCAAAAATATGCACGGTATGCTAGGTCGATATGCAATAAATACGAAAAATATAGGCAAAAATATGCAACAAATATGCAAAATATGTGCAAATAACAAAAAAAAAAAAATGATATGCAATATGTTCATATTTCGCGAGTTATAAACTTGCAAACCTCAGTTTCAAGGAATTTAAAACATTTTTGTAATTTCCCATATATAATAAAAGCATGTAATAAATAAATTAAATAAAAAATTTCCTTTCAGCTATAATATTACAAAATATATACTAAAATAAAATTTTCGGAATTATCAATCACGCAGATTTATTTTGAATGTGTTTATACGTTATTATTTATCTTCATGTATTATGTATATTTTGTGTGTTACCACGGAAAATTTTCAAATTTTGAATGAAATGTTACGAACTTCAAATGGAATATTATGACTTTCAAATGAAATTATATGAATTTTAAATGAAATTCTATGAATTTTGTAAGATATTCTGTGAATTGCAAATGGAATTCTCGAATTACAACTGATATTTTATGAATTGCAAATAGAATTTTCGAATTATGGCTTAAATGTCACAAGCGTAATTGATATTAAAATTGGAACTTAAAATACTTCACAATATGACGATTTTTTTGTTCGAGTTCAGAAACCAGTGTCACGCCACCCAACTCAATTTGAACATACATTGGAAGCAGTTTGTTCTATATCTTGTTTTGTCTATGCTATCGTCACAGTCAATAACCGGAAGTAAAGTGTATCACTACAACGCATTCTTGTGCACATGATGGATACACTTCCATGAATACAAACATTTGCTCGATGTGGGCGATTACTTTTCTAAAATGATCTCTGTGGGGAGTTGTAATCAACAGATTTCAGTGGTTTGGTTCTGACCAGTGAATATGCAGGTGTAGTTTAAACCCGGAACAATTCTTTTATGTTCTACGATTTATTGTATTCAAACTTGCAAAGCTTACACCGTAGAAACACATTTGATAGGTCGGCTTTACTCAACATCTACTAACCGAAATACGAGTATTTTGATTTCTAACCCTTTGTATACCCTCCACCATAGTATGTGATTTTACAACAACAGAAATAATGTAATTTTAGAATTTTATTTTGCCTCCTAAAATCGTGTATGTGACCGCGGAAGTGCTCATTACAACATTTTGGAAAATTGAAAACATGGAAGTAATTCTGAATACGTAATTTTTAACATATATTTTTTTTAATAATTTATGCTGTATTGTGTACAATATATATTTTGTTTAATCTCATCTGATTTTTCATACCCCCATATTACCATTTGCGTTTGATTTATATATATATATATATATATATGAGAATGTATATATACATATATATATATATATATATATATATATACATATACATTCTCAATCTGTTGGAGGCTTCTGAAGGGACAACTATTGAAAATCTGTAAAATATTTATATTAACAAATTAATTTTTTCTTTATTGTATGGCACTTACCCTAGATGAATCGTATGATTTTTTTAGATTCTTGAAATATTTAATTCAACAGCACTTCATCTTGTATATCGCAAATATATATTGTTATCACAAATCCCAAATTGCATAAAATGTACACATTCCATAACTTTATTTATGACAGATGATAAATGATATACAAAAATTTGAGTCTAGGAGTAGTGCAGCTACAAACTCTTGAGGCAACACATAGTTTTAACATAGATGTGTAGGGTATTAAAACATTGTGTTCTGATTGGTTGAAATAAATTTGCCTAAATTTTGAAATGTGGAGGCGAATTAAATTTTATTTGCCTTGATTACAAATTTTGACATATTATGTTACCAAAATAATTGCTTGTTAATTGATGCGACGATAATTTACTTGAAAATCTTCTTTAAAGATTGTAACATTGAATGTTAAAACAAATTGTTGTAATTTTTAATTTCATAATAATCGTTCAATATTAAGGGCGTCAAATAGATTTTATTTGAAAAATCGCTAACTTTGAATTGTATGTTCTGAAAGATATAGATTAAAGACTGCAATTGTATTAATGTATGTACGCAGAAGTGGTATTTACACACACTCCAATATCGGGCCGATCGCTATGAGGCCGCATAAAGTTCAAAGATGTCACAAATGGTGATGAATCAAAATCCTTATTTTCTCTCTATTTTTGTAATAGACCATATTTATAGTTCATATGCCATATATAGTTCATGTTCATAGTTCATGTGGAGAAGTTCCATATAATGTCAATTTTCAAATGTTTTACTGCCTCCATCATAAAGTGGAGTGTATATTCCATTTGTCACAGCCCTTTCGTTCAGCCTTATTTCTTGTAGCTTGTCGTCGCATCTACAAACTCTTGAGACAATGCATACATTAACATAGATGTGTAGGGTATACAAACATTTTGTTCTGATTGGTTGAATCATTTCTTGTAAATTATAACAACTTTCACGAAAATCTTTCCAGTTTTGATGTAGCCCTCATTTTTAGATATTTTCATTTTTAGATATTCATTTTTAGATATTTTGGTTCTTTCGAAGTTAAATTAGAAAAAAAACACGAAACTTCAATTTTATTTAAAAAAATTAATTAATATTTTAAGGCGAATTAAAAATTACAACAATTTGTTATGACATTCAATGTCACAACCAACTGGGTCGCTGCGACTACCTTGGTACAAATTATAAATTGTGTTGTGTTTTGGTTGTGTTTTTTTATTTAAAGGCAAAACAATTAGTTTTCGTCTCGGCAAAACAAATTGACGTTAAACTTAAGTTTTCTCTATGAATTCGCTTACTGGCCGACCTTATATAGGCCTTGGACAAAATCAAAAGATCCAAAAGTCAACTTTTTGGTCTGTGGCAAAAATCAAAAAGTCCACTTGTTGCGTTTGCTGTTTTATATATGACAGAAGAAACCACTACCTACAGAAAATATTATAAAACATATTTCGAATGTTCGTTTTCCGGAGTAACAAATTACCCCATAAGATTTAAATTTGGTTATTTTACACAAAAGGTTTTGGTTCATTTGACCCGCTAAATATTCACACTTCGTTATTATGATAACCAATCGGAATAGTTGGTCAGATCGTCTTCCCCATGGAAAATTTGTGATGTGTGGTTTATAGTTGTGGCGTCTGGTCTATTTTACCAGCTAAATTTTGACCGATCTTCATCAAAACAGTCATGTTTATTCCATGATCAGACACCTTTCACTTTTTATAATTTCGTGATGTCCGGGTCTAGAGCAATAAGAAAAATATTAAAAAATACAGTTTTTTGTCCATTTCATTAACCGATCATTACCCGTCATACATCCAAACTTCGTGAGGATTGGCCTGTATCGTCTCCACAAAATGAGATGTGCGTCTTCGTCTTAGAATTTATTTTCACACACATAAACTGAGTCCCCTTGACTTTTCCTCTTTCATACAATGCCGTTGGACGTTGACGATGTTCAACAGTTGCTAAAAAATCAAAGAACACAATAAAACACGAAGAAACTAAAATCGATTTGCCGTAATTAATAATATTTGGAAAAAATCGTCAGCTTTAGATTTTTATTTTCCACAGAAAAAGTTTGTTCTCAGATACTGGCGACTGTTTTTTTAAAAAAAAAACAAGAAAACGATGTCAGACGGTTTTGCCGACAGATTCATACACTCACGCTGAGGCTTTCTATATTTTCAAAATTTTGTTCCACCGAAAATAGGTTTTGCGAAAATAACCGCTTATTTGGACACCCTGTTTTCTCCTATCTTTAGGGATAGGAGAGTTTTGTGTTTGCAAAGCTCATTCGGATTATTCTTCACATTGCCAGACTTTATTTGTAACACGTTTATATAATTTGTCTTTGGTATATAACATTGGTTGACTGTACATAGCAGTCAGACTAAATCATGTCCCATTGTTGGGGGACTAAGGAACTGACGATCTTATATGTGGACATTACAGTGGGAGAAATTGTCACGTTTCCAATCTGAAATAATATTTTTTTATTTTATCTCCACATATTCCGTATGCTCCATGATCCACCTACCTTTTCCGGTCAAACAGCTGTCGCGGATCATATCACACTGGCTGTAGAAGAATTGATGCTCGTTTTTTGCAGAAGCGCAGACAGCTTTGAACGGATCACAGTTATTCAATCCACTACACGAAGTTCCTCGAACCGCTAAGACAACCACAACCACCAGCAATAGAATCGATAGAATTAATGCTGCCCACACCGAAAACCTATTCAGCATGCTCCCTGGTACCAACATATGTGCGAATTCTGATTTTACATGGAACTGTTAATAGCGTTATTGTTCTATATGGCAATTTATTTCCTTGTTGTTGTTGTGGTTTGGTTTTTGCACTTTTACTGAATCTGCTATTAGCTAATGGCTTACGAAACGCTTTCTAGCCGCGCATAATGATCGCTTAATTCGAACCGGAGTGTGCTCGCTCGGCAGTGCTCTGTTTACAAATGTCGCTGTGGAATTTGGTACGGATGTTAACGACCGGCCACAAATTTCTCAGAGCACACGGTATGTGAGCAATTTCATTCAGCCATTAACTGCTAAACACTTGTTCAAATTGAAACGCACCTCCCACTGCGAACATGATTCGTTTCTGTCGCCGTATTCTCTACAACTGTGGCTTCTCTCTGCAGGTAAATGGAAAAGCACTGACGTAACGAATGTTCCTAATCATCGGTCATGCGACGCAATGAATGCTATTGTCAGCATTGCAATGCTGCATGTCGAAACTGTGTATCCCCTTTTTTGAATTTAAGAGATAAAGCTTCTGCAATGAAAATGTGGAATGTTTTAATTCTCGAATTCAAAAAATGTAATTTTAGTTTTTTATTTAATTCGATACAATAATTCAAGAATGTCGCTATAAAATTTCAAGTGAAAATCTCAACAACTCTTGAAGATTTAGCCGATTTATTGCGTCAGTATGAAGCGATGACATGTGGGATTCGCAAATTTAAAAGGCGTTTTTCGCGAAACAATGTTTGTTCGTATGGCGGGCACGATAACTCAAAAAATAATAAGCCAATCCATTCCAAATTTTAACTCCTTATTCTGTACGTATATATCTAACGCATGAACTAGGATAAATACAATCGACCAGGGTCTTTCATATATTCATAGTTAGGCTATTTGTAAATTTTTGTGCGGTGTTAATAATTCTAGCTCATACCAGAGCCTGACATTTACTCGTTCAATTGACGTTTAATTTTTTTGGATTCGGATGATTGGATTTCGATGTTACAAAAACCAACAACAAAATTATGTTAATACATTTTCCTTTTTTAAGATTGCCTTCTTTAACTCTGCTACTATGTGAAGGGTTAGTTGGTGACCCAAAGAGTTTTATCATCACTATATTTTTACTGGTGAAATGTATTAAATAACATATTAAATTGAAATAATCACAAGTTTTTCTAACATAGTATAAGGGTTAATAAAGAAAAGGAACCAAAGAAATGGAACCCAATTTTTTTAATTTTGAAAGCTTTATATTTAAAGTTAAAAATGTTCACACAAGTCGACGAATTTTCCCATTTTTAGTCATGATGTCTACAGTCGTGTATATTTGAAGTTGATAGAGTGGCCAGACTTTAACCACATTTCGAGAATTTCATTTTAAATTCGAAAACTCAATTTGCAATTCATAACATTTCAGTTCACCTAAACAAACCAATAATTTTATTAAGCACTTCACGATTAAGGGAAGCTGTGTTTTGTCGTAAACCTGATAGGATCTGATCTGTTTGTCTGTTGTTACCGTCAGGAGTTTTATTTGCATTTCTGGTGTTGACCAGAAGAAGGCGGGTCATAATTTTACAAATGTGTTGCCCCGACGCCGTACGATGAATGCACGATCCCACTTGGCTGTAATGGACTTTGACTGCAGCTGCAAATACCCGACACAATCTTATCTTTCGCTACATTCGATTACATGGTTATACGTTATACCTGCGGGAAGTGAGATTGTATGTGCGCGCATACAGTTCTGCTCAAAGCATTTACAACTTGAATTGTGTTGGCATCTTTTAGGCGGAAATATTACACACTGATGGTTTAAAGTGGTTTCAATACGTTTCGACAAAACAAAGAGCCCATTTTGTCGAAACTGTATACATACCAAAGAAAACCCAATGTGGTACGTCTCGCCCTGATGGCCCCATGTTGAGTTATTTCACTTTCGAATCCAGCTCCATGATCAAAGTTTTGGTATGAAAAGGAAATCCTGGAGAAAAAAACTACGTACCCACCATTATGTGGTCGCATAATGGATTTCCTTTTCATTGCAAAACATTGACCATTAAGCTCGAGTCGAAATTAAGCGCACTTAAAATGCATTCAAATGATTATCGCCATAACAGACAAAATTCAAACAAATAAAACATAAGGGAAATATTTAAAATTGTTGATGATCCTTCAATATTTTATCCATTATTCAACATTTTACAGCATTTTTAACCACAAAAAAGCTAAAATGTAGACGGTCATTGATCGCAGGGTTTAAAAATTAAGTAAAAAAAACATAACTCAAACCAAGTGAAAAAACGTTAAGTTCGGCCGGGCGAACTTTGGATACGCTCCACCACAGGTATACTGACTGGTATTTGAAATGAAAAAGTGGATATTTATAATTTTTAATAGAGATATTTGGTACCCAATAAGAACCCAATGTACCACACTTCAGCGAATTCGGTTGAAAATCGCCCTCAAGAACCTCGCTTTTTATACTATGGTGGAGGGTATAAAAAGCGATTTTGCAGAAAATGCGTTTACAGTTTTCAATTTATTCACACTTTATATGGGACACAGGAACTTCTCAATTAGAGTGTGTAAGAGATATTCATATGCATTTTTACACAGATCTGTCTTTTGTCTGCAGGCAAGTCAAGTTCGAAGATGGGATATATCGGTCCACGTTTAGGCATAGCTCCCATATAACAGTACCTTAAATTTTCGGTATTTTGGGGTTCTTGAGCGCGTTTTCAGCCGAATACACTGAAATTTGGTGCATTAGGTTCTTATAGGGTACTGAATGTCTCCACAAAAAATTATAAATATAGGTCCACTTTTTCTGGTAGCCCCCATATAACGGTACCTCCTAATTTTCAGTATTTTGGGGGTTTTGATTGTGTTTTTCCACCGGATTGGCTGTAATTTAGTATTTTGGGTTCTTAATAGGTACCAAATCTCTCCACAAAAAATATAAATATAGGTCCATTTTTTAAGCTAAATGCGGGTTACAATTCATATAAATGAATACATATATATAAGGTTAATTGACGAACTTTATGTTCTTGTTTTTTTTCGTATCTTCCGCAGATGATATGATTACAACAGAGTCTTAGAACCAAACCCAAACACGGAACAAATCATATAACTATTTTAATATAAAAAAGGGGGTTATATTGGGATGACCCCAAAAAGGGGGGCAAATATTACACATTTTTGGTAGGGAGATTTGTTGCCATATACGACTACAAAATACCAAATTGCAGCGAATTCGTTCGACTACAAAATACCAAATTGCAGCGAATTCGGTTGTAAAACGTGCTCAAGAACCCGAAAATACCGAAAATTGGGAGTACCCTTATATGGGGGCTATCCGAAAAAATGGACCTATATTTATATTTTTTTGTGGAGAGATTTGGTACCTATTAAGAACTAAAAATACTAAATTACAGCCAATCCGGTGGAAAAACACAATCAAAACCCCCAAAATACTGAAAATTAGGAGGTACCGTTATATGGGGGCTACCAGAAAAAGTGGACCTATATTCATAATTTTTTGTGGAGACATTCAGTACCCTATAAGAACCTAATGTACCAAATTTCAGTGTATTCGGCTGAAAACGCGCTCAAGAACCCCAAAATACCGAAAATTGAAGGTACTGTTATATGGGAGCTATGCCTAAACGTGGACCGATATATCCCATCTTCGAACTTGACTTGCCTGCAGACAAAAGACAGATCTGTGTAAAAATGCATATGAATATCTCTTACACACTCTAATTGAGAAGTTCCTGTGTCCCATATAAAGTGTGAATAAATTGAAAACTGTAAACGCATTTTCTGCAAAATCGCTTTTTATACCCTCCACCATAGTATAAAAAGCGAGGTTTTTCGGATAGCCCCCATATAAGGGTACTCCCAATTTTCGGTATTTTCGGGTTCTTGAGCACGTTTTACAACCGAATTCGCTGCAATTTGGTATTTTGTAGTCGTATATGGCAACAAATCCCCCTACCAAAAATGTGTAATATTTGCCCCCCTTTTTGGGGTCATCCCAATATAACCCCCTTTTTTATATTAAAATAGTTATATGATTTGTTCCGTGTTTGGGTTTGGTTCTAAGACTCTGTTGTAATCATATCATCTGCGGAAGATACGAAAAAAATAAGAACATAAAGTTCGTCAATTAACCTTATATATATTCATTTATATGAACTGTAACCCGCATTTAGCTTAAACTACCTTTGGAAGAAATAATAAGATTGGCAAAGTTTGAATGAAATCAAAATTTTTGAAACAAATTTGGTCCAAAGAATATTTAGAACCATAATCGGTTTGTAGACATGTCGGTATAGGTACACTTTTTGGTTTGTTCCCTATATGTTTATTTCAAGTACCTGTCAGTATATCTATGGTGGAGGGTATCCAATGTTCGGCCCGGCCGAACCTAATGCTTTTTCACTTGTTGTTATTCAACTCAAGCTGCCCTACCTTATATTATTGTAGCATGGTTTATCCCACATTTCTTTCGTGTTCTGTGCGCTAATTAGAACCAAAGGGAAAATTTTTCAACCGTCAGCATATATAAAAATTAGACTTTTTACTTTTCATTCATCATTTTCAATTTGACTGAAAATGATGATTAAAAATCATATAAATATGTTCATGCTGTCAAAATTAATTTATTTTCGATAAATACTCTTGTAATGGATGGGATAAATTTCTTGGTTACTCAGAATTGAACAATGTACAAAAGTCGGTGTTCGCTAAGAAAGTTTTGTATGGGCAACTAAGTAGTTACTACATAATAAAGGGTCGAACAATGGATGGGAGAGAGAGAGAGAACAACGGCCGTATTTACATATGTATTAATTCCTATCTTTTGAGTACACTGTGACACATTTTTCAACTTGAAACACCCTAGCTGGGATTTATATTTTTAGCTAAAACGACATTTACATTATAACTTTTTCCGGGATAAACTACTTTATGAGGAT